TCCTCCTCGTAATGGCCATCGTTTTACGAAAATAGCTCGGGAAGACGTTGAAAAAGCGAGGAATTTCAATTTAAACACCCTCAGGATAAAATCATAAGAGCTGAATCAATGCTCACAATATTTGTCAACTATTGTCGATACCAAATCGTTAATTATATTATTAAGAGCGACATTACTAAACAATTCATAGAATAAAATAGGACTGGTTCCAAATAATTCGCTAGTAAAATTCAACGAGCATTCCGGACATATAATGTTTTTCTATATGGACGACGACAGCTGCACGCATCCAAATTCCCGGACTCTTACGAAGTAGTCAAACAGGAGCAATAAAGTTTCCGTTTTTACAGTTACCCCGGAATTCCAATATATATCGGGAGGCCGGCGGAAAGGGGCCTCGAATTCAATCCGCCCACTTCCCGATTTTCTCTAACCACTCAATTTTGACGCTAAGAAATTGTTTACCTGGGAAGCGATTCTTTGTCCTGGCGTTTTAATCGAAGAACTAACGATTTTGGAAATGTCATTTGGACGAAAAGAACGGTAACAATCAAGTTCCTTTCGTACTCGGTGTAGTCAATTTCGTTAGTCAATAAGATTGGTCTTTACCAATTTACTATTGCCCACTTTTTTCTCCGTAATTTCAAACACCGAACGTTCCTTTATATTCCTTAACTACACACTTCCAAATTAGTGTAGACAATGCGTAGTTAGAATCGAAGACGAGTCGCCCATGCGAGATGGAAGAAACCGCTTTTATTCATAACGACCTGGGCGTCAGCCGGGGGGGTTCCCGCAATCAAACTGACCACAATGGAGGTGTTGTTTTATAACACGTAGCGTTTTTATACGTCGATCTTTTGTTGGGCAACTTTTGTTCGACGATTTAATTGGGATTCCTTCAGCTGTATGAAAAATGGTTATGTCATAATTTAGGGACTTTTCGCGCGCAGGCGGGACACCTGATGAGTTTGCAACAACTGTTGTGGGTCCGATAAAAGAATTCATTTTATAAGAAAGAGCCTTGTACCTATTAAACGCGATATCTACCTGATATTCTTATTTAAACGATGTGCTAAATGTATCCACACGTTGAAACCTGATGATATTGATTAATTTACCTCTAATTGGATTATGAGTTTATTTGCGTTTCCTGCCATTATCGGTTGGTATATTTATCAAAGTATTCATTACATAGGTTAGTACCTGCGTAAAGTACGCCGCTGTTGAATTAAGGTGGTAAGTGAAGATCTGAAGAACTAATCAACTCGGTTGTGATAGAATAAGAAACACGCTGTGAGCATCCATCTTGTTCCGAACGTGTTCTTCGTGCAAACGGATCGGAACGACTTTTTCTCGTCTTCCTTTTTTTCCCTTTTTCTTGTTCTTATTCTTGCCCTCTGCGCTTCACATTGATTATGAAGACGTTGCGGTAGGTGACGATTCGTCCGGCGTAGAAATTGTGTTTTTAACGTGAATATTCTACCGATGAAATTGCGTTCCGTTTGGAAACCGGGACGGTTTTAATTGTTGAAAAACTCGCGGAACGTTGTTCCGAATTTCCAGTAGTTTTTTTGCACAAAACGTAGCTCGAATCGCGTTTAATAAAAGTTGTTGATTTTGTTGAAACTGCGGGTATGTTTTATTATGTTTTTACCCGCTAGGTATTTTTATTACGTAGTCTCTATAACTATTTTCCAGCAAATATGCCTAATGAAGAAACAATTTTTTTAATCACAGCTAAATTAATCGTTGACAATCCGTTCTCCCGTTAGACAATCATAAATATCAGTCATAATATTTTCGAAATTTCATTCAATATTTACGCCGGACTGTCCATTAGCAACATTAAATTTAATTGTTACGACACTGGCGCTTAAAAATCGTGCCTCCATGCTCAATCATATCCATTCAGGTAAGTCGAGTTCCTAAGCCATTAACATTTTTTTTGAGGTCTTTATTGCATCACATCCTTTGGAACGGCATCGGTTTCGGGACGAGTAAAAAATATCCACCTATAGTTATAAAACTTTATAGACTTGCGCTATTGTTGCGTAAACGTTTTTTAAGTAAATAAAGTCATAAATAATTTTATTACGGTTTGTTTTACGGCGATTAAAGTAAGAGAATAAGGATGTGGAATTGTGGTCTTACCGTTAGGTGAAATTTGGAAGTCGAGGAATCGAAAAACGACGTAAAAAATGCGTTTGTTGAAAACAATTAATAAAAATCTTGGTTTAATTAATTATGTAGTTAAAAAGTTGTAACACATGGGTGTGAGATAGAAGCAGGAAAATTTATCCTATAAATTATACAATATATCAGATATTTCCTTGTGCATATCGATTTATTTATATCTTCTGTTGCACAGTGTAGCAACTCATTGCTAATTTGAATACGAATTTTACCTCCGTCGATTAAATACATGTTTAATTCCAATTACGCGATACCCTGTTGATTTATGATAATAATTAAATTAGTCTATTTGCGTTTTCGAAATTTAATTTCGACGTGGAAATTATTAGCGTTACCGCCAATATTTGCAGAATTCCTACGTGTAATTAGACGGAATAACGCGGGGAAAGGCTTTATTTTCATTGCGATGCGCGATTTTATTTGGTTATTGATTCCGGCTAATTGTATTAGGCATACATAAATAAATGCAGTTCAATTACGAATGATACTGTAAATGATACATGTACGAAAAATGCAACGCAATTTGTTTAATTTCGTAATTATTGTATAAAATATACCGACCCAAATTGCTTGAATAAAATTATTTCTGCACGAGATGTTTTTTTTTGACTTGTGGAATTGGTAATTTTCATAGCGTGAGTTTCTTAAGATAATAAATTTCTTGAATTAATCTGTTAACTATCCCGAAACCGAGTAATTGCCGTACAATTTTCTCCCCTATTTTTTTTTTCATCTCTTATTCCAAACTTTTACGGTCCTCATTATTAGCCATAAATTAAATATTTCAAGAAAAACGTCAAAACTCCTGACTCGCTCCGAGTAATAATGGAGCCATTAATTTTTAATTGCCTTGGGAAATTGATATAATTTCGAGAATGTTTTATGGTTTCATAATAGGGACCGCTTTCTAAATCGGGCGAATGATTGTTGTCTAGTTAATGCGCTGATAAGAAGCCAACAGTTGCGGTGGTACCGCGAAAATATTTTACGATATTCCCCGATGAATTAGATAAATTCCCGCCACCCACTTTGCGGCCATTCCCCACCGCAGGCGGCGGTTCCATCGCCGTTATTACGACGTCAAAGCGTGCGATTTTTTCCACTTCGGGCGAGAGATTTCCACACGAATCCCACCGTTAGTACGCATTTATCGCAAATGGGAAATGAGCCATAAAAATTAAGGCGTTCCTGTTTTTATCAGCGACATCGCACACATCCGAGTGCCCCGTAAACAGGTAAACAAAGTAAACACAAATAAGGGACACCTCCAAGGCGAACTCATTAAATATTTTACAGGCGCACAAAAACTTATATCCCTCTTATGGGTTCGCTACACGCTGTGTATATTTTACTTTGATTTTATGCGACTATAAGAACGAAGCGTCTAATTGTGAATGTAACAGCGGGTTATTACTTGTATATTATCAACGGAAAAATACGTCGTTAGGTTTGTAGCATATGAAATAAATTATTTATGCCTGCCTTGCTCAACTAAGTTGTTTCGAATTGATATTTCAAGGTAGGTACAGGAAATTGCCTTGCCAATAATACATGCGCTAGGAGCAAGTAGAGTAACAGGCCATTTTATTAAGGGCGAAAGGACGAGTTTGTATTTTTTAAATTAATAATAAAGTTGCTGTCGTATTGAAAGAGGAGGTTGCAATACGAAATAGAATAGCAATAAAATCAATAAAACCGAATTGATAGGTCATACAATAGGTTTATTGTACATGATAGGATACAGTAAATAAATTAGTTTTGTATAGGGAAGGAATAGCAGCTTTTATTCATAAAATAAATGTACCAGGTAGGTAATAAAACCATATTGGTATATAGAGTTATAATAATAATAATAAACAATAAAGGTATCAATATGAAATATCACAATTTATTGATAAATTCCTCTTTTATATCCAGAATATTTCTATATGCAAAATTTAACAATCATTAAATTAACTTCCATTCCATTTTATAATACCCTAAATCCTGCAATAAAGCCCCTTTGCAAAAGTGGAAACTGTCATTGCACGCAAATCCCAAATTACAGTATAAAAGTTGAAATTATAGTTTCCTCGAAACAAAAACTAATTTTCAATTCCGACTCCAGTCAGTTCGCGCCCGACGATTTTCCTAATTTCCCGGCGATTTTAAAACGTGGAAACGGCACAATTTCACTTCGCTCCCTTCGCAAGACTCGAACTTTGATAATCGAGCAGGTAGAGGGAGGAAGAGAGAGGGCGAGCGTTCCGCTGTAAATAGATCTAATGTACTTCCATATAAAAAAAACTTATTTCTTTCTCTCGACTTTATTCCGAAGTTAATGGGCCCGGAAAACGCGCCTCCATTCAACCAACGACGCGAGATTTTTCTATGCGAAAAATATTTTTCATTAACGCCACGCTTTCATTAAATATTATCAACAGTAAGGCGCTGTGTGTGGTAGATAGTTTAGTTGAATTGGAACCCATGTATGTGTATGAGATTATGCAAACTGGAAACCAACAAATATTCTCAGAATTTTCGGTGTCGCGGTTCTTAGTGTCGGATTTTCGGGACGGTTTTCCGTTTTTCGGCGTCGTGTAAACCCGGATAACATGCACTCGACGATATTCCCGAATGAGAAACGGCGTATAAAACAGTCAGCAATTCGAGCAGAGGTTTTACGAGCGGATTTTTATGGTCGATAGAAACGATTTTGTAGTTCCTCCCGTTCCGGGGCGAAATGTATAAAAGTAGCCGTTTACATTCAAACAACACCTAGCGAATATATCTCTTATCGTTATGGGTTTTATTAATTCCCTTACCGGCAGAGCGTCGCAGGTTTCGATAGGTAGCGGATCCTCGGTGCAGTACATCGGATCGGCGGGTTGCAGAACGGGCGGCCGCGGCGGCGGCGGTAACAGAAATTCCGGAGGCGGGCCGGGACAATCGCAGTCCGCCCCGCCGGCTTCCATGCTCCACATGCTGTCTGTCTCGTCGCCTTCGAGTCCCTCGAATCCTTCAGGTCTTGCCATAGACCTGGTCCTCTCACTGAAACAACGAACGCCACGTTACTGGTCTAATTGCTAATTGAGTTCTCGAGTTGCTGTTTCGCGGGTAATTGAATAAAAATGTTTCGAAACGATACCCGGAATGTTATACCTATGACGACGGGCGAGGTTTCATTGAACTCTCCTGGCAGAGCAAATATTGAACGTACGCCGCTTCGGTCGGATTGATAAATTTATTTGTTTTACGCGACATTAATTTATTTAAAGTTATCATCCAGCCTCACGGTAAATATTGGACGGACGGATCAATTCTGTCGGTGTAGAGTTTTTTTAGTGCGCCATTTCACGATGGAAAAATCGAAACGTATTTGGTTTTCCGCGATAAAGCGATGATATCCTGTTTGATTAACGATATAATAAACCAGCCAGGAAGATAAGATTGTACGAGTTTTGAGTCAATAAAAACTCCTACGTATCCGATAAAGTTACAATTAATTAAAAGTTAGTACCTAAGTAGTTGTAATTATAAATGAAACACTTCATAAAGTGACGCATTACAATTTGAATAAAAAGTTTGCGTATAAAGTTTTAAAACCTCCTCGTCTGAATAGTGTTGAGTTAAAAGTTATGAAGCTGTATAAACATTATTACCGCAAACTGTTAAGTTACGTTAACTCGAAGAAGTTTCGGAGCGAGAAGAACTCGGAACTTAATAGATTATTATCGAAGACTACCATTTGCCTAATAGAGAGGATGCATAAACTAAGAACAACGATAAAAATGTACAGTGTTTGTTAAACTGGTTCCGCGCCGGTAGGGACATTAAAATCTGCTTTACGACCACAATAACATATTCGAAATTCTTCATATTTGTAGGTTGTAAATACGTCCTAACTAGACACGTCTTCTTAAATATGCCGTAAAGTAGGTTATTTTCGTCAGAAACGTTTATATTTCGTCGAGCATGAAAGAATTCCATGCCGCTTTGTTGCCTCTTACAATGTTTTCATCAACTCTGCACTCGATTTCAAAACCCGTTGGGGTAGTTTCGTCTTCGATCGAACTCGCATTTTTTGCAATAATTTATTCCACTTTTAAGGTCCTGCTTAAGGTTTTTATTTGCTCGACGTTGCGTAATTAAAAATAAAATAAACATTCGAGTTTCTTTTAATTCGATTCCTTCAGACGTAAAGACGTGTAAATAATCCTTTATTGCACAGCAAAAATTCAACAAAACTCAGCCCTTCGGGAGCTGTTTCGGAAAAAAATAAACATCCACATCTGTCTTTTAATTTACAAAACAACGAAGAAAATTTAAATTAACCGGTATATATTTAGAACATTTCTATTCTTCTGCTGCGATATTGTAAATCAGCAACGAGCATCCCGAAGTTGCTCCGTTATTGGAATTAAAGTGTTTCACGGCGTTCCTTTCGAGAAGAAAGAGTAAACATCAAAAGGAAGCTATGAATTCCTTTTAATAAAATACGAACTGTTGCCTATAAAATGTTTTAAAAGATTAAAGTATTTGTAGGTCGAAATGTATAAAGGAATTTTCTTACATTGTAAATTCGAACGGTACATTCTTGATACGTTTGTATAGTTCCTTTTGGAACGCTTATTCACAAAAAACGAAAATTTGTGATTCACGATTTCTCCCGTGAGTAATTGAATTATCGGAAGATTCCCGATGAGAAACATTCATCTCTTAGTAATTGATGTTATTGCATTCAGAAATTCGCTGAATTGGCTTATACATAAACGGGAAATGTGGAAATCAATATCAGCTATAACAAAAGGAATGTTTCTGTATCTAATTGACTCAATTTTACTAATGACTGTTGAGTTAGGATATGCTGAAGTTAATAAAATATATCGAATCGAGGGAACTGTTGGGAAGATGTGGAAATATTAGATCGTTGTTCAATAAATATGATTAAAAAATATTAGAAACAGTTGTGAGACTATAGGAGAAAGCTAATTGCAAAGGAAGGATCTATTTTATGTGCTTGTGGAAATGACTTCTGGAAAATGATTAAAACCACAAAATTTCATACAGAAAGAAAGCAAATCTAAAGACTCGAGAATAAATAGGAAGATAATAGAATTCCCTTGAAATAACTGGATCTCAGTTACCCAACAACTGAAACTCTAGACCTATAGTATAGGTACTTGGTAAAGGTAGATGGAATAACGAAATTATTTTTTCTCTAATATTTATAACCATTGAACGATACTCAAGTTGATAAAAAAGCAACCAACCTTAGAATTCATTTATGAGTTCACAAATCACCCAACTCCATCACAAGCAACACGAGCACAACACAACCGCGAGAACCTTATCCAAAAAAAAAATCCAATCCAGCAAGTCGCACCAAAAAAAAAAATCACTCTGATCCTTTAGAAATCCAATCTCCCATCCAGTCAACGGAGAACCCAAACCAAACGGAGTTCAAGATCCACCACGTCTGTTCACCGGCACGAGAGCGTCGCGACGTCCATGCCGCCAGCAAAACGGCCGTCGGCTGACTGAGAAGCTGAAAGACTGAAACCACTGAAAACCGTCCGTGCTGAAACGGCCCGAAACGTCGAGCGTATAGAAGCGATGCCAGCGACGCGCTTCGCAACCGGATGGCGTTTTCAGCCGGTCTCCGACTCCGTTTCAGTTCAGTTCGTCCTCAGACAGCTGGATGTTTACACCTATGAGTTGCGCCCCCACCGCGCCGACACGACCAATGGAATCCCGATCCGTGGCGGGGATAATAATGTCATTATTTTGTAATTTACAGTTGGCCATGTTGATAGTCAGGTAGGTTGGAGGGAATTGCGGTCGATGGGTATTAGTATTAGTCGCGGGCCGGTGCCTCTTGAGGTTTTGGTTTCCTCCGGTATCGAAGAGGAAGAAACCATTATTCTCACGTTTGGAATTAAAACGTAAACGCCACTCGTCTCGCTCTTCGAGCTATTAACTCTTCTTCTGGGTATGTTCCTCTCCAGCACTTACAAACTCTTCAGGTTAACTACCTATTTACCATCAACTAGTACCCTTTTGTTTTAACTTCTTTAAGGTACCTACATTACGGTCTCAATTTCTCATTATATCCTCTACAATAAAGCAGCTCCAACATAATTTAGAGAGACTTTAAACGCGATTTTCATCCCCGGAGCTCCGTGTTCAATAATACGCGGGTAATTAAATTTGCATAATAAGGATATGGAACCAACCCTTGCGACAAACCAACTTGTCCACGCATCATTTAACAATGCCGAAACCCGGACTAGTCCTTTTCGGATTTTTTTCGCTTCTAATACTCGAACGGATAGCCGAAGAAAAGAAGAGAAAGAGAAAGGGACCCGTTTGTGCTATATCTATAACAGGTAAAAAATTTACAGGAATGGACTTGTTGGTTTGGTACACGAGTTCTTATATTCTTTTTGTTGTCACTTTGATACTCACTGTTAATAGGTATTCAAACCCATAAGAAATAATGAATGCAATGTTATTCTTGTTGTAGCAATTTTATGTATTCTCATTTATATCAGAAGGACCACAAATTGTGCGATCCTCTTGATCTAGTAGGTACACAAAATTTCCAATAATTTTCGAGTCTAATTCGTATATCTTCAGCCGCAAAATCTCTCTTTACCTATTACGTTAAAACTGCCTTTGCGGTCGGTCCGACCGCGCTGAAAGCAAACACATTATAATGCATTTAAAACAACTTACGTCTAGGTAAATATTGAATGCCGATGCCCGAATCAATATACTTCAATAATCCAGATTGGTATCTGAAAGATGATATCTGGCTTTGACTTTTGTTTGGCTTACCTTTAAGAGATTTATATACCTAGATGGCTCGTAAAGTAGTATATCTAGAAATTACAGGTAGGAAACCCGCAGGGTCGGATTGCACTTTGCTTAATACTAAAAATTTCGACCGGAAAATCTACTACATAGGGTAGTAAGGTGAACAATATTATTTAAAAAATAACGCTTATTTTGTAACAGTCGTTACTGCACCTCTATACAAAAAATTGAATCCCACCTCTATTAAACTTCTGTCATACGAACTGTCATTAACGTCAATTTTGACAGTTTGTGTATATATTCGCGTATAATGTGATACAAAACTGAAAAACCGGCTTAAAAAATCAAAAAAAAATAAGCAAGAATAGTTTGCGGTAAGTTTTTAATTTTCCATCCAATCAAGCACGATGTCGGTATAACAGGCGAACGAAAAAATTAATCGATTCGCGACCCCCTCGCGGGCCGATAAAATCCGAAAAGCTACCGAACCGTACGAGAAAGATAATCTTTTAATTTGACTTAATAAGTTTAAACACAGTCGATTTGTTCTTGTGTCGGAAGGAAACTGCAGGTAGGCTTTGCGAACCGAAAAAAGACTTAATTTCGTTATCGGACGACATATGGGCAACGGCGGGCGGTAAACTAAAAAGTTGGAGAAACTGTTCGGTTTTGATATTCAGAAAATTCATTTCGACGGGCCGTGAACCGGCCCAAATTAAATTTTTATACGGTTGCTTACCTATTAATAAAGCCCTTACCCCAATTAGCTCGCTAGTTAATAATCACAGTTTTCTATCATTACTCAGTTTTGTGGTATATGCATTATTTAAATACATTTGCACAACGAGGAAATGGGAATTCATAATTCGCCCGACATCAAAGAAAATAAGCTCGAGTGTTTGTACACACATACCGCCCTATTTTTGTTTACACGATCTGATAACTTTATAAACGCATCTAAAACTGTTGTTTGAATTGCTATTAACAAGTACTTACTAAATATTCGGGCACTTCAAGATATTTGCAATGCAGGTAGATGAGGGAGCGATAATTTTCACAAGTTTGCGGTCGAATATTGTTTGAGTTTAGATTAGAAAATCCTCTTTGGTTTCGTAGTTTTACTCTACATTTTTTTCTCTTAAAGAATGCTTGAAAATAAGTAGTGCGATTAGAGAGAATAAAGGCCAGTTAGGTGACTAATGGAAATTGTTAATGG